TTTGGGACATTGTGATACTGAGGGAGCCTCTCTCTAGCCTTGGCCCATCCGCCAAGTGTGGGGGGAGCTAGCTTTCCTCACTCTTGTTTTTTCACATCTTTGTTTGGGCTGTAGCAGGGCCAGGGTGGGGCTTGGGCCCTAAGGTCACAGAGCAGATGGTCCCAAATGGAGCACAGGATGTGTGCTATGTGCCGGCATAGGCCCAGAGCACAGGTGGTGTTGTGGGGGGAAACAGTACTCTGTAGGGACTCAAAGCCCTCAATTTCCTTGTCTGGCATGAAGCCCGACTCTTGGCCAGAAATGTCCGAAGGGAATGCGGGAGGCCAGCATGGATGTGAAGAAGCATGAGCCCCCTTCCCTCCTCCTCCTCCTCCTTGCAGGTGTAGCCACTGTTTGCCTCCATCTCAGGACCCAGCTCCTTCAGTCTTGATTCCACTTGCTGTTGTGCCACTGTGATCTGAATCAGGTCTCTTCACTTCTCCCAGCCTCAGCTTCCACATCTATAAAATGACTATGAGGAGGCTGAGCCTATGCCATCTGCCCAGGTTTGTGGGAACCAAGAGGGGTTAAAACACATGAGTGTTTTGTAGGGCATAAATTACGGTTGGTTTATTGGGATTGTTTCTTCTCTAGCTGCAGAAGGTGGTAGGGTCTTGAGGCCTGGCCTCTCCTTGGAAAGGTTGACTTCCTATTCTCAACTTGGGAAATTATTACCCCAATGAGAGTGGGAATTGCTGGGAGATCTTCTCTAACCTCCATCTTGCCCCAGTATGAAAAGGTAGGGGGCCTCAGGAATGTGATACACTGCCAAGAGACGCAACTGTATGCCTCCCAGTTCCCCAGTACCCCCCTCCCCTCAGCTCTGAGATGATGCCCTTAGGTGGGAAGGATTTAAACCTCTGGAAATTGGGGCAGCAAGAGAGGCAGCTGCTATTCCCACAATTCTTAGCTCTTTTTCCCCAGTTCTCTGCTAAGTCTGTGGGGGTGAGGAGAGAGTTCCAGGCTCTCTCCTTTGCCCTGACAGGCACCCTGAAGGGACCTGGCCTTAAGACTGCCCCCAAGGGTGGCCCTAGCCCGGTGGCAGGCAGGCAAGGGTTAAAAGGTGTGGGCCGGCCCAGTTCCTGGCCAGGTAGGCTGGGTCATTACCTAGTGGGAGGAGGCCAAGGCATCTGCCACTGCTGCTCACTGCCACTACCAGCCGGAACCGGGGCCTGGTCGAGACAACTATTTTTTGAGGTACCTGAGGCTGCCCCATAGTACTGTTTGGCATTGGTGAGCACTTGAGAGCAGTGGGCCCAAGGGCATGGGGGCAGAGGAGAGCACTGGGGGACTGGGGTGGAGTGTACTACGGTTCCATTCAGGAGAGAGCCAGGTCTATAGTAGGGGTGTGTCAACGATGTGAGGTAGGTGCCGTATAGCAAGGAAGGAGTGTCTGAGTAGAGGGGAGAAGCCCTGAATGTTCAATTTCCTTTCCTGGCACAAAGCCAATTCCAGAAATGGACGAAGGGGCGGGAGAAAGAAGCAGGAGTCCCCCCTTCTCTACTCTACCCTCCAACTTCCTCTTCTTTGTACTCCCCCAAGAGTAGTCTCTGCCCTTCCACAACCCAGGGCCCAGCCCCCGGGAAAGGCCAGACTGGGCTATTAAAACTTATTGCCCTGGCCTGGCTGTAGTTCACACCTGTAATCCTGGCACTTTGGGAGGCCTAGGCAGGTAGATTGCTTGAGCTCAAGAGTTCCAGATTAGCCTGAGCAAGTCAAGACCCTATCTCTACTAAAAGTAGGAAAGTTAGCTGGTGTTGTGGTGGGCACCTGTAGTCCCAGCTACTTGGGAGGCTGAGGTAAGAGGATAGCTTGAATTTGAAGTTATTGTGAGCTATGCTGACACCATGGCACTCTACCCAGGGTGACAGAGTGAGACCCTGTCTCAGACAAAAAACAAAGAAAGAAAAATCATTGCCCAGGCACCTGCCTGCTTACCCTCCATTTGTTCACTAGAGCAGAAGAAGTGACGGGTACAGGTTTCCAGGGGAGGAGGTGATAGTCCATACATTGAGAGTCTGTATTTGTTTCAATAGTGGCAGGATGTGGAAATACCCCCCCTATAGTGTCGGGGTGCCACCCAGGTGAGGTGTCTTGGTTGTAAACAGTCATTACAGCTAGGAATTTCTTTCTTGGCTGTGGTGTCAGAAGGGCAGACCTGAAAAACCTGCTGGGCTTGCCTCTGGGGGTGGGGGGTGCCTTCTACAGCTCTCCTGTTGCAGCCCATTTCTGGGACTGGGCAGGGCCATGGTGTTACTGTGGGGAGACCCAGGGCTGGGTGAAAGGGTATTGTGGAGGGGGTTGCTAAGATCCCCTTCTCACCATCTCTAGGTGGGGACAGGGCAGCCTCAGATCCTAAGGCAAGTGTACAGGGGGCAGGAGGCAGAGGTTTGGGAACCGGGTGTGGGGGTGTGGGTGTTGACCTTTTGTCTGTCCTGTCCAGTAACCTCATGACTCATGCCTCAGCTATTTCCCCAAGGTCAGGCTGACAGGAAGGAGTCAGGGTTCCTGTTAGGACCCTGTGTTGACTTCCAGGATGCTCTGAACTACCAGAGAAGGAAGGATTCAGGTAGTCCAGAGTGAAGTTGGATTTCTATTGATGTGGAGGAAATTTCAGGGAAGCCCTAAAAGAGTTCCCCACTCCTAAATAGGGGCTGAGAAAGGAAGAGCTCCAAGAACCAAGGAGCAGAGGAGGCTGCACTGGGACATTGAGGAAACCCTGCCATACTGGGAAGCTTTAGACCTTAGATGGGTGGGAATGTGAGCGCCTTTGCAAAGTACATGCTAGGGTCTGGATTTGTCAAAGATTTTAGGGACTGACTCCTATTCCTCAAGTTGAGGATAGGGTACCATTGCTTCAAGGGAGGGATATAGGCTTTGTGAAGCAGGTAGAAGGACTGGAGGAAAACTGGTGGCACTTTATAGGCAGCTCAGCTGCACCCCACAATAGATAGATGGGGAAGGGGCTTGAACTGATGCCTCACTGGTTGCTTGGATCTTCCTCATACCATGTACTGATAAGCTGTAGATTTCAGGGAAGGTGGGGGTGGGAACTTTGTGGCCCCCGTGAGGCCTTTCCTGTCACCTGCCACTGAGGTTAGGCCAGGTGGTTGAAGATGATGTCACTGGGCTGCCAGCTGGGGACTAAGTAGGATGTAGGAGGGAGGGAGCAAACTCCAGAGGAGGCGAGACAAGGGCAGGGATGGAGGCCAGCCAAGGCAGGCTCCAAGGGCAGCCAGGGTGTCTAGGGGCAGAAAGGGAGGCAGGAGGCAGGTAGTTTGCTATCAGTAGTTATGGACTTTGCTTGTCGCAAATCCTGGCAGTGTGGCTTCTCTTTTTTTTTTGGAGACAGAGCCTCAAGCTGTCTCCCCGGGTAGAGTGCTGTGGCATCACAGCTCACAGCAACCTCCAACTCTTGGGCTCAAGCGAGTCTCCTGCCTCTGCCTCCTAAGTAGCTGGGACCACAGGCGCCCACCACAACGCCCAGCTATTTTTTGGTTGCAGCCGTCATTGTTGTTTGGCGGGCCCAGGCTAGATTCAAACTCGCCACTAGGTGTATGTGGCTGGGGCCTTAGCCACTTGAGCCACAGGCACCGAGCCCAGAGTGGCTTCTCTATGCTGGTCTCGGGACAGGTAGGGGCTGAGGGACCCTGGTGTCAAGTGAACACTCCTTGTTGCAGTAGAGCCAGTAGATGAAGTTAGGACAATCTGGGCTTGAATCCTGGCTCTGCTACTTTGTCATTTATTTATTCATTCAGCCAGCAGATGTTCATTGAGCACTTATGTGAGCAACAGTGCTCAAGGTGCTTGAGATACTAATGAAAATAGGGACAGGTAACATTTCCTGTCCTCATGGATGTTGGGGGATGCACAGTCTGTTGTTGGCTGGCAATCGTAAGGGGACATAACAAAGGGGCTCACCTCTGGAAGTAACATTGGAGCCCCAGGATGGTAAGTGAGAAGCAGGGGTGAGAGGTTGAAGAAAGTACTTCAGCGAGCAGCCCCAGTGTGGGCAAGAGCCCTAAAGCCTGAGGGACTAGGGAACTTAGGAGGAAGTTGGTGGAGTTGGGGTATCTTTATCCAGTGAGAGTATAGGACCGGAAGGGTGGACTTAGGCAAGTGTCTTTGGCTGTGGGCAAGTTACCCTGTGCCTTCCCCTCCTCATCTCTAAAATGAGAATAACAAGGGGCCAGGGATGGTGGCTCATGCCTATAATCTTAGCACTCTGGGAGGCTAAGGCAGGTGAATTGCTTGAGCTCACAGGTTCGAGACCAGCTTGAACCAGAGTGAGACCTCATCTCAAAAATAGCCAGGTGTTGGGCAGCACCTGTGGCTCAGTGGGTAGGGCGCTGGTCCCATATACTGAAAGTGGTGGGTTCAAACCCAGCCCCGGCCAGACTGCAACAACAACAAAAAAATAGCTGGGCATTGTGGTGGGCAGGTTACATAGGAAGCTGAAGCGAGAGAATTGCTTGAGTCCAAGAGTTTGAGGTTGCTATGAGCTATGATGCCACAGCACTCTACCAAGGGCAACAAAGTGAGACTGTCTGCATTAAAAAAAAATGAAAATAACAATACTTAGTCTGGGTGGTTGTGAAGATTAAGTGTGGCATTGTAGGACTGTTCTAGGCACCCAGGTACTTAATAAGTACCTGTTATTTTTATAGTTAGTTGAATCTGTACCATTAATTCTCCCTCCCTTTCAGGCAAGACTCCTGGCTGTAGCCCATGGGCCTCTGAGGAGGCGTTATAAGTCTGCCCAGCTCTCCACTTGCTGTGCTCCCATTCAATGGGAAGGGAACCAAGGTACCAAGGCCAAGTGGGTCCACTTACCACATGCATTTTGAGAGGGGAGGTCAGGCAGGTGGGTGGGGCCCAGGGTATCCCTTATTCCCAGCTGGAACATGGGAAGCTGGGAGGGGCTGGGGTTGGGGTGTCATGGGATGTACTTTCTTAATGGCTTTGATGTGTCACTGTTAGACCTTGTCCAGCCATCAGTCACGGCCTCTCAACAGCACCAGGATGGAAGTCAAAGGTCAGCTGATCAACTCTCCTACATTCACTGCCCCAGGTCGGTGGCTGGTCCCCTCTCCTGCTGCCTCTTTTTCTGCTCTGAGTCACCAGCTGTCCTCTTGGGAAGGGTTGGTCCCTGGCCTTGCAGCTGCTGCAGGATGCCTTGGCTATTTCACTAATCTTTGCTTTTTCTGTGTCCAGCTGCCCTGTTTGGAGAGGCTGCCCCCCAGGTGAAGTCAGAGCGTCTACGTGGTCTGCTTGACCGGCAACGTGCACTTCAGGAGGCCCTGAGCCTGAAACTTCAGGAGCTCCGCAAAGTGTGTCTCCAGGAGGCGGTGAGGGCCTAGCTTTAGAGGTGTCAGGCTGTGGGTGAGGAGTAAGAGGGAGACTTTAGTGACAATTGCTAAGCCATTTGTCTGAGTTGTAATTCCTTGTCACCTTCTGTGTCCATAAAGCTCAGCTTAGATGTCTTAAATTTCAGTGAAATATGGTAATGTAAGTTCACAATCCCTTATCAACAATTTGAAATCCAAAAATCTGAAAATACAAGTTATTTCCAAAATTTGGCAGCAAATCCTGAGCTGAACTGACATGGGATGATTTATAGTTTTGATTTAACCCTCTTAAGTGTGACTGTCCATAAAGTTTGCCCAAAATAATAATGTGGGTCAGACCATGTGGCCCCAGATCCTAATGGGAGTTTCATGTAATACACAGTATATAGAATGTGTGGTCTTTATAAAAACTAAAATATTCTAGATTCCAAAGCAGGTCTCCCTGCTTCCATGCATTTGGGTCATTGAGGAGCTGAGAGTCTGCACTGCACATCTCTTTTTGGAAATATTGGGAGGAGGAAGAGAAATACCATGTGTGAGGTGCAGAGCAGAACCAGGCTCCTAGTAGGACTTCTGTAGTGTCTGGGATTATCACTGATTTACCCCATCCCCCTCCCCAGCTAACCCTTGGTAGTATCTGACCCCTGCCCCCCACAGGAGCTAACTGGCCAACTGCCCCCTGAATGCCCGCTAGAGCCTGGTGAACGGCCCCAGTTGGTCCGCCGGCGCCCCCATGCAACCCGCGCCTACCCTCCACCACATCCCAACCCAGCACACCACTCCTTGTGCCCTGCTGAGGTGAGCAGATGGGCATGGGGAGCAACATGGTGGGGAGAGGGAACCAGTACCACCTGGAGGGAGGTATGGGCAGAGGGAAGGGCTATAGCCAGGGGTAGGAGAGGCTAAGATGAGAAGGGAAGTCGTGGATGGGGTGAGTTTCTGCTGTGAGGGAGGATGCTGCTCTCTCACTGTGTCCACGTAGGTTCTTAATCCAGGTAGGCCCTGGCCCTAAAGCGTGAGTAAGCTCCAACCCTAGGTGGGTTGACCTGCCCTCAGGAAGAACAGTTCTTTTTTTTTTTGCAGTTTTTGGCTGGGGCTGGGTTTGAACCCACCACTCTCCAGCATATGGGGCCGGCGCCCTATTCCTTTGAGCCACAGGCCCCGCCCAGGAAGAACAGTTCTACCTCCAGTGTAGATGGGCTCCACCACTGCCTGATTCTCACTATGTCTGGCCATTTCCAACATTTTGTCCTGTCCCACGCCTCTTTGGTGGACCCCACAGGAAGTGGCTCTTGATGCTCTGGAGCGTGAGGTGTCAGTGCAGCAGCAGATCACAGCAGCTGCCCGCCGCCTGGCTCTGGCCCCTGAGCTGAGCGCTGAACAGCGCCGGCGAAGGCGCCAAGTCCAGGCAGATGCGCTACGGAGGCTGCATGAGCTAGAGGAGCAGCTCGGGGATGTCCGGACCCGCCTTGGCCTCCCAGTGCTCCCGCCATCCCAGCCACTGCCGCTGTCCACGGGGACAGTGATCAACACCCCAGGAGTCTGCCTGGGCATGCGCCTCACTCAGCTCAGCCAAGGTGAGCATCCTGCCCCACCTACTCATTGAGAGGGGGAGAGCACATGATGGCTAATGTATGTGGTAGGAGTGGAATGGGTGAATAGTCAGCAAAGACCAGGAGGTAGGCAGAACTTAAGAGACCCAGTCAGCAAGAATAGCTTTGATAAACTGGCTTGTGAGAGAGGACAGGCACGGGGTATTGACAAATAGACGCCAGGAAAGCGAGGAAATAAGCCAAGGAAACAAGCCATGATGATCTTGGACTCAGGTAAAGGTGGATTCTTGGGAGGGGAGCAGGGTGAGGAGGAGACTTCCCAGAAGGCCAGCCAAGCAAAAGCAGCCACCCAGTGATGTAAGTGGGTGGCACCCAAGCCTGGGAATGAGAGATGTTTTCTTGCCTTCTCCCCTGCAGAGGACATGGTTCTGCACTCAGAGAGCAGCTCCCTCTCAGAGTCTGGGGCCAGTCATGACAATGGTGAGGACACACACCCCACCCTCTCAGCCTGTCCTTAGATGCTTAACACCTCCCCTACTTCTATAGATCTTCCTTAGTCAGACCCTATTTCTTTTAGCCCCATCTTCTTTTTTTTTTCTTTTTTTGAGACAGTCTCACTATGTTGCCCTTGTTAGAGTGCTGTGGCGTCACAGCTCACAGCAACCTCAAACTCTTGGGCTTAAGCGATTCTCTTGCCTCAGTCTCTCAAGTACTGGAACTACAGGCGCCTGCCACAACACCCAGCTATTTTTGTTGTTGTTGTAGTTGTCATTGTTGTCTGGCAGGCCTGGGCTGGGTTTGAACCCACCTGCCTTGGTATATGTGACCAGCACCCTAACCACTGAGCTACGGGTGCTGAGCCCTAGCCCCATCTTCTTAAACTCATCTCAGCCCTGTTCCTCAGCCCCTTCCCTTCCCTTTTTGCCCTGCTTCTCAGCCTGCTTAACCCTGTCCTGGCACTCTGCCCCTCGCTTCTCCTTAGCTCCTACCCTTTGCTTTGCCCCCAGCCTGACCTGCCTGCTCTGAGCCCACTCTCACTGAATCCTGCCCTGCTTTTTTTCTTTTCCACCCAGAGGAGCTCCGTGGCTGCTTCTCACTAGCTGAGCGCCCCTCACCACCCAAGGCCTGGGACCAGCTGCGGGCAGTATCTGGGGGAAGCCCTGAACGTCGGACCCCATGGAAACCACCCCCATCAGATCTTTATGGGGATCTAAAGAGCCGGCGGAACTCTGTAGCCAGCCCCACCAGGTGAGGATTAGCCCCTCCCCTCCCTTCCCCAGAGGCCAGGAATGGGATCCTGAGCCTGGGATGGCAGGAGGGCCTACCGCCGAGTATAGTCTCTAACCTGGGCTCCCACCTGGGCCTACCTGTCTCTGTGTAGCCCCACACGCTCACTGCCCAGGAGTGCCTCCAGTTTTGAAGGGCGAAGTGTGCCTGCCACCCCTGTCCTCACTCGGGGCGCTGGCCCCCAGCTCTGCAAGTAAGGGGAATCTGAGGGTGGGTTTGAGAATTAAAGAAGGGAACTGTTAGTTCTCACTGGTGGGTTGAGGAACGTATTATCAAGAGGTGTGGAACACGAGAGGCTGGGCTTTGAACTGTGAATAGGAGTTGTCTTGGTGGAGATTAGAGTGAGGGTTTGGGGCAGAAGTACCACAATTTGAGTATGGGCTTTTCTTTGCCTTTTGGGCAAGTCAGTCATTCCCCTTCTCCGAATCTGGTCATCATTTGTGAAATGGGCATAATAATATCTCCCTTCGAAAGACAGAGGCATAAGACGAGTGCAGTGTAATCCTAGCACTCTGGAAGGCCAAGTCAGGTGGGATTGCTTGAGCTGAGGAGTTTGAAACCAGCCTGAGTAAGAGCAAGACCTGTCTCAACTAAAAATAGCCAGGCATTATGGATGGTGGGCACCTGTAGTCCCAGCTACTTGGGAGGCTGAGGCAAGAGCATCACTTGCACCCAGGAGTTTCAGGTTGTTGTGAGCTATGATGCCACAGCAGTCTACCCAGGGCACAAAGTAAAACTTTGTCAAAAAAAAAAAAAAAAGGTGGGCGGCACCTGTGGCTCAGTTTAGTTGGTAGGGTACTGGCCCCATATACCCAGGGTGGCAGTTTCAAACTCAGCACCTGCCAAACTGCAACAAAAAAATAGCCAAGCATTGTAGTGGGTGCCTGTAGTCCCAGCTACTTGGGAAGCTGAGACAAGAGAATTGCTTAAGCCTAGGGGTTGGAGGTTGCTATGAGCTGTGTGATGCCACGGCACTCTACCAAGGATGATAAAGTGAGACTCTGTCTCTACCAAAAAAAAAAAGGCATAAAAAGTTTTGGTGAACGTGTACTGAGTACCTACCACCTGCTAGGAGTCAGTGCTTTACATGGTATCAACTCATTTAGTTATCATAATATCCCTATGAGGTGGGTGCTGTTGTTACTTCCATTTTGTGGATGAGGAAACAAGCACAGAAGGGTGAAATAACATATTAGTGAATTGAAGTCCTGGAGCTTTGAACCAGGCATGTTTGACTTTAGAGTTTAACCACTATACTGTCCTATTTCTTAAATGCTACTAACTGCCTGCTTTTTCCAGGCTTTGAAGAAAACAAAGTTCCTGTACTTGTGGGACTTGGAATTTTATAAGTGGTGGCTGTGGGGGCGATGGTTTTGGGTGGTTCATACACATGATGGGATAAGGACTAGGACATCATCCTGGAGGCAGAGGGAGCCATGCAGGGATGGGGGTAAGATATCAGGCCCTTCCTCTGCTCAAGGTCGACCCTTTCTAGCCTTAATACATATTTGTGTCTCCTCTGGAACAAACAGCCCCAGTTCCCCCATACATTTCCAGCCCCTGTGCCCCCAGTAGGGGAAAGAACTGTGGCTGCCCTTTATATGCCACTACCTAACACCTTTATACACACAATTTCTAACCCTGGGTCCATTTTGGAGATGTGAAAGTACAGGGTTAGAAAGAGATGGGAGGGCTGTGGCTCAGTGGGTAGGGCACCAGCTCCATATACTGAGGGTGGTAGGTTCGAACCCTGCCCCCACCAAACTGCAACAAAAAAATAGCCAGGGGTTGTGGTGGACGTCTGTAGTCCCAGCTACTCGGGAGGCTGAGGCAAGAGAATCACGTAAGCCCAGGAGTTAGGAGGTTGCTGTGAACTGTGACGCCACAGTACTCTACCGAGGGTGACAAAGTGAAACTTTGTCTCTAAAAAAAAAAAAAAAGAAAGAAAGAGATGGGACAGGGAGGGCACTCAGGTCATCTGCCTGATTTTTCTGATCCTATTACCTCTGTGCCCCAGACCTGAAGGCCTCCATTCTCACCAGTGGTCCGGCAGCCAGGACTCACAGATGGGCTTCCCCCGGGCAGAACCTGCCTCTGATCGGGCCTCCCTCTTCGCAGCTCGCACCCGCCGCAGTAACAGCTCAGAGGCACTGCTAGTGGACCGGGCAGGTGGTGGGGGAGCTGGCTCCCCGCCTGCCCCTCTGGCTCCCCCTGCTGCTGGCCCCCCGGTCTGCAAGAGCAGTGAGGTGCTGTATGAGCGCCCCCAGCCAACCCCTGCCTTCTCCTCCCGCACTACTGGCCTCCCAGACCCTCCGCGAGCGGCCCGGCCTAGCTCAGCTGCCCCTGCCTCCCGAGGGCCCCCCCGGCTCCCACCTGTGTGTGGGGACTTCCTTTTGGACTATTCCCTGGACCGGGGCCTGCCCCGTGGTGGCACAGGGGCAGGCTGGGGGGACCTGCTACCTGCAGCTGAGGTCCCAGGGCCTCCCTCTCGCCGGGATGGGCTCCTTGCCATACTCCCTGGCCCACCACCTGTCTATGTAGCTGACGGTAGTAGCCCCCTCCTCTGCAACAAGGACCCCCACACCCGTGCCACCCGCACCAAGCCCTGTACCTTGCCCTCAGAGGCTGCTGAGGGTCCAGAGGTTCATCCAAATCCTCTGCCGTGGATGCCACCGCCCAGCCGTATCCCTCCAGCTGGTGAACGAAGTGGCCACAAGAACCTTGCCCTGGAGGGGCTGCGGGACTGGTACATCCGCAACTCCGGACTGGCCGCGGGGCCCCAGCGCCGGCCTGTGCCCCCCCACATGGGCCCGCCACACCCACCCTTCCATACCCGCTGCTATGAGGTGGGCCAAGCGCTGTATGGGGCCCCCAGCCAGGTGCCGCTCCCACACTCGAGGAGTTTCACAGCGCCCCCTGTTTCCGGCAGGTACGGGGGGTGCTTTTACTGATGGGTAGAGGTCTCTTGAGGCAGATGGCAAAGATACCCAGTCCATGGAGCAGCTAGGCAAGAGAGCTAATAATGCTTAGAGCAGTTGTAGCACAAGCATAGGGATACTGTACTGTGCATGGCCTGCGTTAGGCCAGAGATTCCTGGTGGAGGGGGATCTTGGACACTGGTCGCTATAGTTCTTTACCAAGCACTAGAAGAATTTTAATAATTTAACAATCAGTGCATGTCAGCTGAGAATGAACCTTGAAGACAGGGTGCCAGGAGGAAGGGACATCTTGTGCCTTTGCCTTTCTCTTCCTCTTTTCTCCATGCCCCATGCTTGGGAGCTTGAGGGTGCTATACTGTGTCTGCCTCCACCTCTTTAACGAGCCTCTTTTCCTTTCTCTTTCTGTGTCTTGTCTGTCTTTTCCTCTCTTCTCCATCTTCCCTGCCCTGTCCTTCGGATTCCTGCTACCCCTTCTAAAGATACTACGCGGACTTCCTGTACCCCCAGGAGCTGAGCGCTCGTTTAAGTGACCTGACGCTAGAGGGGGAGCAGTCCTCCAGTTCTGACCCCCAGACCCCAGGCACTCTGGTCTGACCCCTTCTGACATGCCGTTTGCTGGCCTGGGCATGACTCCAGTCTGGGGAGCACACAGCTGACCTCACTGAGCTCTGGGTGTGGTTGCTCTCAGTCCTGGGTGGGTCCCAACCTAATCTTCCAAGGACTCTGGCTCCCTGTGGGGCCAAGAAGGCGTCCAAGACACCCTGTTCTCACACTGTGCTGGAGACTGGGGGTCCTCAGCCAGCTTAAAAGAGGGGGATGATGTCATGGGGACTTTAAACCCCTTTCTCCATTTCTGTTTACAGTTGTGATTTAGGTATTCACTGTCTTCCCCTAACACTAGGCATTTTGTAAAATGGAAACTGTGATCTTGTTCTGGTTGGGTTCATTCCTATTCTCATGCCCAGCCTATTCCCTTCAGGACCAGCCACTCCCCCAAATGGACCATATAGTCTCAGGGCCCTGTTTGGGGCAGCCAGGAGACTAATGTGAATACAACTCCCTGCCATCCCCTACCAGGGCAGTTATTGGGGAAGTAGGCCTTCTGCCCACATTTGGAAGGATTGTAGTCTGGGTGGGGTGCCTGAAGAAGCCCATCCCCATCTGCCCATGGCCTCTGCCTTGACCATCCCTCATCAGGAGACCCTGTAGTAGGGGTAAAGGGCAGAGCCATCAGGTGTGTTGTGTCCTGGGATGCTGCGGAGGTTGAACCTGGCATCTGGTAGATGCCAGTAAAATCCTCAGGTGATGTCTGGCCACAGGCCACATCACATCTTCCTTGGCTTTCTGTCACCACTTTTTAAACAAATGCACACAAACTGTGTTTTCTATAACCTGTCTGTGACTTTCTGGAAATGGGGGTTCCCCTACTCCCCTTACCTGGTGTTAAACTTTTCTTTTTGTACCAATGGATCTGGGCCCAAGACACTACCCACACTGGAAGGGGATTTCTATAATAAATGTATAAACTGAACCCATGTATTGCTGCTCCTCTATTGGCCTTGCCTTGAGGGCCCACACACTTAATTAGGAGCAGATAATATGTTTTTACAGAAAAAAAAAAAAAAACACCCTGGCTTGGCCTGGTGCCTCATGCCTATAATCCTAGCACTTTGGTAGGTCAGGAGTTCAAGACCAGCCTGGATAACATTAACAAGACTATGACTCTAGAACAAAACAAAAGTGTATAATATATACATACTAGCACTGGGTCGCTCCTGTGGCTCAGTGAGTGGGGTGCTGGCCCCATATATCCAGGGTGGCGGGTTTGAACCCGGTCCCAGCCAAACTGCAACAACAAAAAAATAGCTGGGTGTTGTGTTGGGTACCTGTAGTCCAATACTTGGGAGGCTGAGGCAAGAGAATCACTTAAGCCCAAGATTTGGAGGTTGCTGTGAGCTGTGATGCCACAGCACTCTACTGAGGGGGACAAAGTGAAACTCTTGTCTCATACGTGTGTGTGTGTAGTAGCACCATGGAAACAATCCATTATGGTGTCATCTATTTTGACTTTTATTTGCTTAATGATATGGGGCAGTTTTGTCGGCACTCAGATTCCTAGCTAACGTCAAATAAGAACTGGTAGTAGGCTCGGCGCTTGTGGCTCAGGTGGTGGGTTCGAATCCCCAGCCCGGGCCCGCCAAACAACAATGATGGCTGCAACCAAAACATGCCCCGGCGTTGTGGCGGGCGCCTGTGGTCCCAGCTACTTGGGAGGCGGAGGC